CAGGAAATCACTTAGATAACATGCAATGCTACTGAAATTGTCTTCAATTTGCTGGATTCTTAGTTGCTACATGGTGTTCTTTTAACTATGGGAATTTGAGTTATGCTACTGGTATTAGCGAAGGGATTGGCAAAAAGATCAATTGGTTACTTTTATCTTTGGTTGATAATGGGTATGTAACGTCATAAAATTCCAACCAAAAATTTTCATTTTTACAATCAACAAAACATGAGTAATAAGTTTAGGTTCCAATGTAACAATTTAGTCACAACCGATTACATAACAAAAGATAACAAAATGGTTTCCCCGAGTGTGTGTACGGTCACGCTGGCGCCTTCCCACGGTCCTCGCTAGTACCTGAAACACATAATACAACAACTGTAAGCATAAAGCTTAGTGAGTTCCCCAAACTACAACCTACGCACGTACGCCTTTCCAGGCCTTGACCTTCCGGTCCATGTGTCTCAGGGGACTTCCGTCCCGACTGGGTAAACCTTCCGGTCCTACCCACGTCAACCTTACCGTCCATATGACCACGCCTTCCGGCCCATATCATGTTGCCTTCCGGCCCAAATCAAACATAGCATACATGGCACATATAACGAATAACTTAACACACATAAGGCATATATCTCATATCGTATTCGACCTTCCGGTCACACAGTCAAAACCCTTCCGGGTACAGTATAGTGAGAAGACTCACCTCGTATGCCTCGCTAAGTCGCTAATCGTGAATCCTGGAATCACTCAGGCTCGAACCCTCGAGCTGCAATCCTCCTATGATATTATAAATCTATAATTATTACTTGTACCACAAAGGTGGACCATCCTTATCAAGTCAACACAGGTTGACTTGGTCAATAGTCTTTAGTCAATTTGGACCGGACTCGGCGAGTGCACAATAGTGACTCGGCAAGTCTACGCATTTTAACCAACTCTCAAGGTTTTTCCCCTTTGACTCGTCGAGTACTCCCCCGACTCGACGAGTTCCTCCTGGGCCTGAATCACAGGGCCACCGCGACTCAACTCGCCGAGTCGAAGGTCAACTCGGCGAGTCCCAACCTGACTCGGTCCACCTGTCAAAACCTTTCCAACTCTCTGCGACTCACTGAGTCGCCCATAACTCGGTCAGGACTACACACAGGGTGGTCTCAAGGACAATCTTCAAGCGACTCGTCGAGTCTGTTCTTCAGACTCGGCGAGTCCATGCCATGCACCAGCTAAAACTGGCTTTTGCGGTCAGATCCGTTCCATACATACATAGATCTGGCCTTCCCAAGCTTATTTGTCACGTAAAGTCTCAGTCTTGGTTGCCATGCAATGCATACAAGGCTTATTTTGAAGAAACAACCTCTAATATGGCAAGTTTAGCTTCTAACTCAAAAGAATGGACATAAAGCTTGACATATGGGGTCTCCTGGACCTGCTAAGGTCCAGATCTAGGTTCCATATCTCCATGGGACCTCTCATACTTCCAATTCAAGCCAAGAAATGCAAGAAGAAACCCTAGATTTGGCACATCAACACAAAACACGAAGTTTGGCTCTGAAAATTACCTCAAGAAGACTCCCTTGATGAAATAGCAACAGATCCAAGCTCCCCAACTCTTCAAGCTTGATCCTCTCCCTCCTTTCCTTGCAATATCACACAAAATGATGAACAAATAGCCTCCAAACACACTCACAAGGGCTCACAGACGTATGGGGGCTCTTAGGGTTCAAGGTGGCCGCAAATGAGGGCCATAAGGTCCTTTAAATAGGGCTTAGGACCGGGAAATTAGGGTTTCATTAAACAGCGCGGACTCGCCGAGTCCATCCCTTGGACTCGCCGAGTCCGGACGCGAACCCCCGCCCAAAACCGCAACCCGACTCGGCGAGTTCGACCTCCAACTCGCCGAGTCCCCTCACAGAATGTCAAAAATATGAAATGAAGGTACCTGGGGATCCGGGCTGTTACAGGGTACTGCTCTAATAATGCTCTAAAGTGAAATTTGAATGTTTGGAGATTAATCGCAGTCGAATCATTTTTTTAAGGACAAAGGGGCAGTTTGGTCAAAATCTGTTTTGGTTGACTTTCAGACATTTTTTTATTTTCGTATACTTGGAGTTTGAATGACATGGATATGGCTTGGTCCCTCCATTGCATCAGTGTAATCGTATATATAAGGTGTTTTTGAATAAGGAAATCATTATCTTCTAAATGAGAATCCTAAGATATCAGTTTGGAGATTTTCGGCTATTCATCTGGGAAAAAAAAAAGATATCAGCTATATTAATTCAAAACTTCAAATTAATTGACTTTCTTATTTAATAAGTTTTAAAATTCAAACAATTATCTCAAATTGATTCATTTTATGTGGGATATACTAGGAGATAAATTATGAATAATATTGAATTTAATTTTGACTCTTAAATATTTTGTTGATTTAATGGGATTAGATTATATTTTATAGGTTAATATCTTAATTATTGATATGCTTGTTTAATGAGATTTAAAAAAAAAAAACAAATAAATAAATAAAATATAAACGGGTTTGAAGTTGGAAATCAAAACCTATAAGTAATGGAGTTAAATTAGGAATAATATTAATTAAAGAAACTAATGTCATGTATATAAATAAAATGATATGTTTCAATTGATAAAATAATTACTGAATTTAAAGATTATATAATTATTACAGATTCTATAATTAAATGTAATTGTGTTTGAATTTTATTTGGAAATGATGATGTCAGCAATTTGATCTAAGGATGGAAAACAAAGTAATAAAACACAATCAAGGGCCTTGATTGCTTCATAAGTGAATTAAAGGTTCTCTTTTAATAATATTTAGAGATTTAATTTTAGATTGGGCCATATTTGTATTCGATTAGTTTTATATTTAATTTTGTTTTTTTGAATTCTAAACCGAGTATATGTACTATATTGTTTTTGTTGCAGCTATATTATAACAAATGAATATTTTTTAAATAATTTAGTTGACAGATGGCTAATTAGATGAGTTTTTGCCATTGGTATGTTGATTATTCTAATTCCTTTTGTTTTTCATGATTATAAAAGCAACTAAAATCACATTTAATTTGTTTGCTTTATGTGGTGAAAAACATGGAAAATTTTGATTTTATTTCTCATCAATAATTTATTTTTTTAAGAGAAAAACTAATGATTGATCGAAGTACAAAGTTGAAAATGATTATTAATGAATGAAA